TTTTTTTAAAAAAAAAAACTTTCCTTATGTTCTGGGAAGGGGATCTAAGCAGAAATAGCCGGAAGGTGTAAAAATCAGATTCTTTTCAACATTTCCTCTCCTGCCTATACAGAGGGCCATGTTATCTAGATAATCTTTTGCGGAATAGTAAAAGAGCATCTGAAATACGAAGGTGCAATGCTCCAATGTATTCTTTTAATTTCTCAGACTTCCCAGAACATAAGGAAAGTTTTTTTTTTTAAAAAAAGCACATGGAGTTTTATCTTTTCTGTTTAATTGTGTTGTCATTTCCCCCCCTTTATTTCATTTGGCTGGAATGATTGCTGTCTCGTAGCTCTAGATAGAGTTATTCCAACAGTGGGTAATTAATTTTCCCCAGGGGTTGCAGGAAAAACTGGGGCGGTTGTGAGAACCAATAGGACCAACACACTACAAATAATTCTGCAAATAATTCTCAATTTACAACCGTTCATTTAGGGACTATTCACAGTTACGACAGCCCTGAAAAAAGTGTCATTTTACACAGTTACAACCTTTGTAGCATTCTCCACAATCGTGGGATCAAACTTCAGCTGCTTGGCAAGCGATTCATACTTATGACCGTTGCTGGGTCCTGAGATCATGTGATCCTCTTTTGCGACCTTTTGACAAGCAAAGTCAACGGCGAAGCCGGATTCACTTAACAGATTACTAATGTATCAATGGCAGTGATTCACTTAACAACTGCGGCGAGAAAGGTCGTAACAAGGGGCAAAGCTCACTTAACCAATGTCTCACTTAACAATGGAAATTTGGGGCTCGCTTGTGGTTGTAAGTCGAGGACTATCGGGACTGCGAAGGGGAGTAAGCTCACACGTGCACACACGTATGTAAATTGGGGAAAAAACATAGCAGTTATCTTCAAAACGAAAGCAATGCAGTTCTATTGCATGTATGGCATATACTTATTTATATTTGATTTCTAATTTCAATTGATCACAGGCTGGCTAGATAAAAGCATCCAAAACAACAGATGTCATTAGGGGATTCGTAAAATGCCCAGGTCTGTTTTAGGTTTGTGTCTTAAGTGCTTAAATATTGCATAGATAAGCTTTCCAAATTAAGATTGCATTTTTGTGCAGGCTTACCTGGGGGGGGAAATGAATTACCGTATTTTTCGGAGTATAAGACACACCAGAGAATAAGACGCGCCAAGATTTTGAAGAGGCAAATAAAAAGTTTTTGCACTCTGCAGACCTCCCAAAAATGGACTGTTTTTCACGAAAACAGGCCCATTTCCCCCCCCCCCCAAAGGCATGAATAGCCTTTAGGAGGCTTGTACAGTGCTTCTGGGGGGCAGCAGAACAAGTTCCATATATATATAAAAGGTAAAGGTTCCCCTCGCACATATGTGCTAGTTGTTCCCGACTCTAGGGGGTGGTGCTCATCTCCGTTTCAAAGCCGAAGAGCCAGCGCTGTCCGAAGATGTCTCCGTGGTCATGTGGCCGGCATGACTCAATGCCGAAGCCGCATGGATCGCTGTTACCTTCCCACCAAAGGTGGTTCCTATTTTTCTACTTGCATTTTTTACGGGCTTTCGAACTGCTAGGTTGGCAGAAGCTGGGACAAGTAACGGGAGCTCACTCTGTTACGCGGCTCTAGGGATTTGAACTGCCGACCTTTCTGATCGACAAGCTCAGCGTCTTAGCCACTGAGCCTCCGCATCCCGTGTTTTGGCTAGTCCCTTGTATTTTCCTAGCAGGCCTAATTTTGGAACAGACGCTCAAAATATTAAATTGTGAAATGAAATCCGGGTTGCCCTGACAAATTATTTTGGCAGGTAGGATGGAAAACAGCCAAGCAAGATGGTTTCATTTTGTAGCAGGAAGAACAATCCAATTTAATTACCGTGTTCTAGTCCATATGACGAAGAGAAGAGGGAAGATGAGTCACTCTTCCAGTTAAGCACATGTTCGAAAAGGATTGACGCAATCCATAAATTATTTCAATGACGGTCCTTGGCCCTGTGACAGTAACGGAGCCCCAACATTTCTGTCGCTAAGCGAGACAATTGATAGGTGAGTTTCGCCCTATTTGATGACCTTTCTTGCCACAGTTGTTAAGCGAATCACTGCAGTTGTTATGTTAGTAACCTGGTTGTTAAGTGAATCCTTCGCAAAAAGGGGATCGCGTCAGCCTGGAAACACAACCGCATAATTGCTGCCGTGAGCGAATATGCATTTTCCAAATTAAAAAAACAAAAATAAATAAAAATGAGTTCAACTGCCGAGCAGCCGGATTATGACCATGTGACCACGGGGATGCTGAAACGGTCGTAAAAATGAAAACTGACCCTACGTCACCTTTTTCAGCGCCGTCGTAACTTCGAACGGTCACTAAATGGAGCGTTGTAAGTTGAGGACTAGCTGTATTGTAAATGTGTGGTTGTTGCCAAGGATCACAGCACCACAAAGCCACTGTGACGGACGTAAGTGTGAGGATTGTTTCCAAGTCACTTTATTGAGCGGGCTCATGACTTCAAATATGTCACTGCAAATATGGTCATAATAGAATAGAATAACAGAGCTGGAAGGGACCTTGGAGGTCTTTTGGTCCAACGCACTGCTTAGGCAGGAAACCCTATACCCGTGATGGCACATCTCTCTGTGGGCACTCCAGCTGTTGGCCCAGCCCAGCTCCATCGCGCATGAGTGTGCACCTCCCGACGGCCAGCTGATATTCGGGTCTCTGCTGCACATGGGCATGTGCTGGAGAGCTTGCATTGCATTTTGGGGGTCCCCACGCATGATGCGTGCCATCCGCCCCCTGTTTTGGGCCTGGAAAGTCTCCTGTACCAACCTGAAAGCCAAAAATGGGCCAGGCGGTGCACAGGGGATGTGTGTGAATGCATGTGAGCACATGGACATGGGGGGCAGGATGGGTTCCTGCCAGTTCTAAGCTCTTCTATAGAAGAAGTTCCACAAATCTACAGTGCCATTTAGAACCGGTTCCAGCTCCATCCCTCCCCCACCCATCCGCACATCATCTAGATGAAGAGCGAGAGGAGGAATTCTGGGAGTTGAAGTCCACAAGTCTTAAAGCTGTCAAGTTGGAACACCCCTGGGGTTTTTTTTCTAAAGGGTTAGGGGTGCGAGGGTCTTGTAACCTACAAGCGCAACTGAGCCAAATTTTCTGTTGTTAAGTGAGACATTTGTTCAGTGAGTTTTGTTTTGCCCTACTTTACGACCAGTTGTTAAGACAGTCACTGCAGCTGTTCAGTTAGTAACTCGGTTGTTAAGTGGGGATCATGTGACACACCCACACACCCACAGCCACGCTGCAACCGTCATATATGTGCGTCATTTACCAAAAGTCTGGTTTTTTTTTTGATCCCGTCATGTACCAAATGTCTGAATTTTTTTTGACCATGGAAATGTTGCAACAGCTGTACGTGTGAGAAACGGACGTAAGTCACTTTTTTCAGTGCCGTGGTAACTTCAAACGGTCACTGAACAAGCTGTTGTAAGTTGAGGACTATTTGTATCATGGTTTTTTTTTAATAAAAAAAAGTCGAAGTTACTGCTTTTAGCTTTCTTAGCTGGACGGCGTTTCCTTTGCTGATATTTTACGTTGCACTTAAAATTTATCATCCTGATTTCTTCATTTTTATTTTTAATGTGGCTGTTTTCTCTTATGGGTCCCAGCCAACCCGCTAAGGNCCACTCCTCTGCTCACAATAGAATACCTTACACCACCAGACTTGAAATTTTGGACTTGGAAAACCTGGAACTACACCATCTACGGTCTGACCTAAGCATAGTACACAAATACTTCAGCTTCAACTGCAATAATACATGGGCAAACAATAGATACAAACTCAAAGTAAACTGCTCCAGGCTTGATTGCAGAAAACATGACTTCAGCAACAGAGTGGTCAATGCTTGGAATGCATTACCCGACTCTGTTGTTACATCATCAAACCCCCATAACTTTAACCTTAAACTGTCTACTGTGGACCTCACCCCATTCCTAAGAGTAATGTAAGAGGGCATGTATAAGCGCACCAACGTGCCTATCATCCCTGTCCTACTATCCCCACTTGTTCGTACCCATTTCCTGTGTTCATATACATGTTTATACTTATACCTGTTATCCCGTACATGTTTTGACAAATAAATAAAAATAAATAAATTATGTTAAGGTGCTGCTTGATGTATAAGTGTGAGAGAGTTTCTAACAAGCCTTCAAATTAAAAGGATAATTATAGGTAAGAATACTGCAGATTTAGATGGTGAGATCAAAGGAGCAAAGGAGCAAAAAAAAAAAAAAACAACACGAATTCATAGCAATTTCAAATATGTGAACTTACATGTAGACCTTAATTAAGGACTGATTGCTTAACAACCATTGACGGATCTGTCCAAAGCTATTTACAATCTGTTTTCAGACCGATAACACACACATAGACACACACATACACAGAAACACAAGTGTCATGTGATCGCATTTTGGACATTTGGCAATCAGTTCACCTTTACCATACCTTGTAGCATCTCAAAATCACATGGCTCAAATTTATGATGGTTGTTTTTTTTAACCTTCTGATATTTACTTTCAATTTGTGGCAAAAAATAAAACACACATTGAACTTGCTTAACAACCCATGCCATTCACTTAACCACCACCACAAAAAAAATTGTAAAATCGGGTCCAGT